GAACAAGATGAAGATGGCATGGGCAAAATGAACGAGGAAACGGACAAGACTAACAAAGAGGATGCGATCAGTGAGACCGACAGTGCTTTATTTTATGAGGTACGTATTGTTTATTGAGAACCAGTGTGGATAATCCTTATTTAAAATATTAAACGGCCATCGTATTTCAAACAATTCATCAAAAACCACGACCATATTTGACTATGACTTGTCATGTGAATTAATAATGTGTCTAATAAAGACCTGCAATAGACAGATTTAGCTTTTACCTAATGCATTTTTTAATTATTAAATTGTGTAACCATCCAATTTAAATTTTACATTTTTATTTTCAGGGTGATATTAGGGTTCATGACTGGACGGGTGTGCATTATGAGACTGGAGTGTATGTGGCGAAAGTTGTAAATCTTATTAAAGACAAGAGTTCAAATCAATGTTTTAAACGTTCCGGAGGAAGATGGTCATGCTCGATGGTCCTTAACCATGGATTGTTGTATTATTAAAAGAAAATATGTTATCGGTGTGGCTATTATAGAAGAACTCGAAAGAAAATTACGGGTATGTAACTAGCAAATTTTAAGAAATAAAAACCTTATATTTGTTGAAAATGTTTAAAAGTTTCGTGTTCGTGATTACTATTAATTTAGCGGTTGTGTTCTGAATTGTCTTATTTTTGAATATGTTATATAGTGTAGTTATAAAGGTGTTTTTCTTGACAATTTTCAATGTGCTTTTATATGTATTTCTATCAATATATTTCCATGCATGTATTAGCTTTAGTTTTAAATAAAATTAATCGTACGGGATATCTACATGACTTTCGAATTTCGCACACGAGAGATATCCCAAGATCGAACGTTGTAAGGGTTTTACTATTTCACCGTTGCATGCAATGTATCAGTTATATTTATCGTGTGCTAAAATTCTAAAATATTAATAGAGTCTTCCGTGCTCATAATTTCGGTTAACTTGTATGTATGGAATTCATTTTTTTATGTTACGTACGATCATATTGTATTTTAACATTGTATATCGTACCTTATTATATATTATTACTATTTTCATCGTTATATACATTGTTTAATAGTTATTATTTCTCAAATGTAAATAGATATTCAGTGCTTAGACTTTCAGCTTGTATGTATGTGTATGAAATTCATTATTTTTGTTATCTACTATCATATTATCTGTTTCAATAAAATTAGCGAAAAGAGGTTTTTCTAACCATTAATTGTGATTCCAAATTTAATCCATGCAGATATCAAATGCCACCTGCCCCAAAACATGTGCCAATCCGCATATAACAAGAATAAATATAAATTGTAATTTAGATAATAATACACATTACGCCGTATTCTGCTTTGGGAACCCGTTGTAAGAACGGGAACTGGTACAAACAGTGTGGCGAATCTAACCTTGCCACTGAGTATTTAAATGCATACTTAAATATGAAGGTATTTATAGATCGATCTATCTAGCCCATCTCCAGTGTCTTTTGCACGCTAAGGCGGTAATCGAAATCGCCGACAAATAATCCTGTTGTTTACTGCCATCCATTATTGTTTAAAAACATTTCTCCCCATTACAATTTAACCGATACTAATCACTTTATAGTAAAAAATATTCACCAGTAAAATTATATAGTTAACGATTTCAAAGATTACTGGCGGTTTCACCCAAATAGTGAACGGTAGCCCCAATAGTGACATTTTATTAATTAGTCACGCGTTTGCTAATTTCTCCTAGTGATATGTTCGGATTAACTCACGTTTGTTTAATTACTTACGTTATTTTAACATACTGATATAAGTAAGGAATACCCGCCTTATGATTATTACTGACCATTTATAGGAATACTGACGTACGGTGCAAGTACTGACGGGTTTAAGTGACTACTGACAACACGCATATTTCCATGAGTTTCCATGAATAGTAACCACTTGGTTAAGGATATTCTAACACAGACGCCAGTTAGTCAAAACCCAGAGACCAGTTCTACACACTATGCATCTTGCCGTGGTATCCACCCAGGCGGTTGTCTTTTGGGGGTTTGATATCTGCCCAGCCAAAAGCCTTAAAAGACGGGACTGAATTAGATTCATCAGTCCAGACCAGATGGCTGCCAAGTTAGCACCAAGGCTCACTTAAGACAAGCTAACTTTGGCTACGGTTAATCCTGACACTAGTGATATGTTCAATCATTTACTAAGTTATTTACTATGGCTTTTTTAACTGATGTCCCTAAGTCACTAACTAAAAAATTAAATGTGTGCCTATTAAGCCAGTAGTAGAAAAGGATATAACTATTTGTAGGTGAGTCATGTTTTTTTCTTAAACAATTGTTAATTATAATTGTTTTAGAACACATATATTGGCTTTTAAAGTTACATGTAGTAGTAACGAAGTATTAAGAGGGTTATACGCAAAAGTAAAGTGTTTGTGATTGTTTAACTAGAATTTGGTTAACAATGTCGTAATTTGAAAATTAACCCATCAACATTCACAAATATTAAATTTTATAAATTCTAATGTAAATATTCTATAATAGATCATGATCAAAACTTTGTTCCACTTGCCAATTTGATTTACACAATTGAGTACACTCCCATGATATATATATGGAGTAGATGATAAAACTTGGGCACCAGTGGCAGTTAAAATAATTTTCATAGCACATGACATAAAACACCGTTTGGACAGATACCCGACAAAAATAATGGCGGCCATTAATGAAATATTTTGAAGAAGAGGAAATAAATAAAGATGAAAGAAATACTTTGGACCCCTCCCTACACTTGGCCACAACAACGAAGTAGTGAATAAAATATGAGGGGAAATAATTAATATCCCTCTGTTATGTTTTCACATACATTTTATTATGCGTTGGCCAATTAAAGTTACATGGCCTTATGAATATGACATCGAGGTCGAGGGAAGATAACTTTTGAGTCCGAGTCTTTTTCCTCTCGGGTTTGTTGAATCGCGCGAATAATATGTGATTGTTATTTACTGTAAATACTTATGTCATTATGTGGTTCTTAGAATATAATTATGAGAGACGATTTTGTATATTAACTTGTTTATTACCACCTTTTGTGTTACACCCACAAATACACAATATGGTGGAGATGCTGAACCTTGTAATATCTGACTGCTGTTTTGAATGATAATTATGAAACCGCGTGGTTTTTGGTGTTGATATTTTCTAACCTTGAAGGCCAACAAACAAGTCGTCCTCTTTACAATATTGGAGTACCTGTCAATCGTTTGCATGCTTCCCTACTTGTGTAAATATGTCTACCCCGCCGATGTACCACTATTCGTATTTTAATGATTTTGAACAAACACCTGCCATCTCCGCTAACAACTGGGCCACCATTACTGATTCCTGTTCGCTCAACATTGATAACCAAGTACCAATTACCTCCTGGCTTACCAACAAAATTTTATGGCACCGGTATGGTTTCAACCTTTTCAGGTGAAGTAAACCCAACATATTTTTAGAAGAGTTTGACTCATTTTGTGTACTTGAAGGACTAGCAAATCGACAGAACCTTGCTGCTTTTCATTTGGAGCTGAGAGGTCCGGCCCGTGTTTGGTATTTACATTTACCTTTCTTGACAGTCCTTTGAGAAGCTGTTTACTTCCAAATATTCAAACCAGGTCAAATTTGCCGATTCCATAGTTTTCAACCAGCCTTTTTATTTACTACCCAACCAGTCAATAGATCAATATCAAAGTTTTTTGATTGAGAAGTCAGCCAATTTGCACAAAGAATGATCAAGAACTTATGTCAAAGTTTGTATCTGGCTTACCTCCTAAATTAGCATTTTTTATAAGAGCCGGAACACCTACAACACTTGAACGTGCCTACAGTGCTGCTAAGATGCGTGAAGCCGATGGCTACCGTGACAGTGTTGATAATTCTCAGCTGCGACCAGGACCTTTTCAACGAAACGTCACATCGCCTCACATACCAATGCCTGATTTTTCTCAGCCGCTCCCCACAAGTACGAGGTAAGTTACCTTTTATTCGAAAGTGGTAAACTTCGAGAGAAATCTTTTTCAACTTGTATCTACACCCCAGACCAAGTGATCGGGCGAAGGAAAACCCTATGTCGAAACTACAAGATGTACAAAAGATAACAATAATAAATCCGGTAAGATTATTCTGGCCATCCCTATTTCAACAGGATACATTTTTAGACCAATCCGGGCTATCCCTATTTAATCGGGATACACGTTTAGACCAATAGTTTTATCATCAATAACCTATAGTATATTAAATTACCATAATTTGTAAATTAGGCTGGGTTCTGAGATTACTAATCAGACTGATCACATACATTTACTCCATGTAATATCATTCAATGCTTTTATTGGTCTGACAGATTTACCTACTATATTCAGGTGCTGGACGAAAAGATTTTCCTTACTTGGGGGAAATGGATAGCATTTTCCAAAATGATCCAGCTATAATACCTACCTTTACTCTAGATACTGGTACAAAGGCCAAGCGATCAACTGGGTGGGATTCTGAACCTGATCCAGAACCAAAACCGAAAGGAAGTAGCGCAGCTACAGAAGTTTTGGAATTCTTAAGCCACTTTGAGTCAAAAGAAGAAAAAGGGAAAGAGGAAATGCAAATGAGAGAAAAAATACAAACTGAAAAAATTAATCTTTTAAAATGAAAAAATAAAGCTTCAATTACACCATAAGACAGATTTAGAGCTACAGATGTATTATACTGTTTCTATATTTTCATTATCACACTCAAGTTTGCATTGTTAGTTTAATTTTATAGCCTTTTATATCTTCATCACCACATCTTAAATCGGGGGGGGGGGGCTGAAATTTTCAGCATATTCCTTTTACATTATCTATTTCTTAACTATTATTGTGATAACTTTGAGCTCTTTATCTAATCCTTCACAATGCTGCTTGAACTGATTGGTTGATTATGCCCAATGACGCATATGGCATCAAGTTCCCTCCCCTCATAACACACTGTGTAGCCTATGCCCAGTCGGTGCAGAACAGGGCAGTTTATAGACCCCATTTTGATTTCATTTCAGTCTGATTATAAAGTTGATACACATACTTCATTAACGGGATACTTCCGAAATTATCAGTTAAATGTCAGGTTTTGGGGAATCTCCAAGCTATTCTCTCCATTTCCACCAGGTTTAAATTGTACTGCTACAATAAAATATGTCAAGAGTGTCCCACATATCTGAAATACACAAAATATTGTTTAAAATTATGTATGAGGCTTAGTTGTATTTGTTTTCAAACAAAATTAAAATACTAATAAACAATACCTAAAGCACGATTCTTGTGCGCCATTAGAGCCGTCGTCCACTATTTATTCATTCAAATTACCTCCACGGATAAATGGAGAAACCGCCAGGTAAGCCCGCAGGTAGCATTGTGATAAATCTGAACAGTTGGAAGTGAACATATGTGAAGACGTGCCCCAATCCGAAGTGTGAAATGGAAGATAAAACTAAAAGAGAATCACTAAAATATCGGCCAATATGTTGTTCCGACCACTATAAACGACGTACCGCTAATATACTTGATTTCTGTATAGTAAACAAACCATATACATCATACCCAATTGTTGATCCACTTAACTTGGTAGTAAATATATCTATCTGTAATATACAATATAGCCTCATAAATGTAGGGAGGAGTGTGTGGCGGTGTGTGCTTACATCATACTTCTGACATTGTGTCTAGGGGCGTGGTTTTGAGCCCAAACATGTACACAGGAAGCAGTTTGGTCACCTGCCCAACATCGTGGATTTTCTTGATCCTTGGCTTCCTCCCACACTCTTTCTGATATTAAAGGTAATTTTATAACTTTTTTGCTCTTTTAAATATCCGGACTCGACGTTTTCGAACCGCCATAATGCTTCTATAAGTTTAGCTATTACTTATTTTCATCTTTGAATTCCGACTATCTGACAATTCTTCATTCCATCAATGTTTTTAAAGATTGTTATACTAACAATTAAAAGCCATATGTTATCCACGTACGTTATCAAGACATGCGCCGACGGGGATGTATTGGATATAGCTTAAATTGATGCAATTAAATGCCTACCAATTTTAATCCTTTATCTGTTAAAGACGAAAAATCAATCTTCCATATTTCGTCTAATGTTTCATGAGCCTGAAATTCAAAATTAAGTTCCATAGTTAAAGGGCAATATTGGTTCCAGTCATTATCACATATGTAATAGAACTGGTTAAACACGTTCCAAATATTACTTTATCACAGAGATCATTGCTACGATAGATGCGTAATCAATGCTTGAACAACCGGAAGTGACGAACCCAAAAGAAAAATACGAGTCATCCCTCTATATAACTGTCTGAAGTGACGAGTGATAACAGATACATAGGCGAATTTCTGCTCACTAATAATTCTTTCGAAGACCAAAAGTTGTTATATGAGACTGTAAGAGTATATCTGACAATTAAAACAATTAATTGAATGTCATTAGATAAGAGAACACGAAAAAATAGAAACAGTCCGTACATTCACGTGTGTTTATTCATTCTATACTTATAAAACATGGACTTTTCTATTTTTCTTTATATTCTCTTATCTAATGGGGGGTTGGATGGCTGAATGGTTAGCGTGCGCGCGCTGTATCATAAAGTCTGTCATTGAGTCGACTGGCGTGGTTTCGAATCCCCGGTTGTACGTGACAAGGAGTAGGGTCGCCTGTCCAACCTCGCGGGTTTCTCCGGGTCCTCCGGTTTCCTCCCACTGCTAAAGACCCCTACGCGCAAGCGAATTATTGAAATAAAATTAAACCATATGTTAGTCCCGAAATGACATAGTTTGTGTCGAGTGGACGTTAAACCCCATTTCTCTCTCTCTCTCTCTCTTATCTAATGACTGTCAATTTTTTATGAATTGTCAGATATCCTTGATTCCTTTCACGGTCTCACACAACAGCTTTTCTTCTCCGAATGAATTATTGGTGAGCAGAAATTCGCCTATGTATCTGTTATCAGAGGTCACTTCAGTCAGTTATATAGAGTGATAATTCGTGTTTTCCTTTCGCGCGCGTCAGTTCCGATTGTTCAAGCATTGATTACGCATCTATCGTAGCACTGATCGCTGTGATAAAATTATATTAGGAGCGTGTTTAACTCGTTTAACCAGTTCTATCACATATGTGATAATGACTGGCACCAATATTGTCCTTTAAAAACATTAGGCACGAATCAATGCTACAAAACTTAGGTTAGCTAATTCTTTGTGTAAAACTGTCTATTTTCTTTGTGAATTATGAAATATTTATTGTAAGTGAAGGTGATTATACTGTGAATTATGCAATGTTCGAAAGCGCATGGGTGGAGGTGGACAAAAGGTGCGTGTGCCTTAAAGGGACAATAACACTCTTGCTGGCTTGAAAGCTCCAGAACATAAATAATATCTCTAAGTACTAGATGTTTAAATGTCCTACCTGTTGTGTAAATTATCCATTACATCCTATTTTACTTGTCCAGAGGGTTCGAAAATATTTTTAAATCGAAGGTTCATTTGAAAAGGTTTACGTTAGACGTTTCAAACCATTATGTTGAATTTTTCAAATTTTTTAAATAAGGTGTGTTAAGATGAAATTTGTATCATCAATTAATTGAAATATTCTAAAATAGTACAATTTGTTGACCAGAATAAAGATTGGGACATATTAGTCAGTTACAACAAGAGTTGTATTGACCCTTTAAATCATAAGGTCTGTCATTAAGTTATGTGATGTGGTTTCGATTACCCGCTTGTACATGACATGGAGTAGGGTCGCTTCCAATTATCCAACCTCTCATGTGTTATCCAGGTCCGCTGGTTTGCCCCAATGCTAAACACCTACGCACACGCGAATTATTGAACCATATGTTAGTTCTGAAATGACCTTAAATCCCAGCTATCAAGTTTGTCGAACATTGAACACTGGTTAATGGAAAGGTGTTTTCAAAAACATTAAACGATGAACTTACCATTGAGCTGACCTGCGAGGCAATTAAAAGTAAAGCATTGAACACCAAGAAGTATACTATTGCCCAAAATAACATAGCAGTGAAATAAACAGTTGTCAGTGATGAAACATTGGTTAACATGACCAACATAAAACAATCAGCCGTAAAGAAAGCAAGAATACTCCCCACCAAATAGTGCTTGCAAATCCGATTAACAGCTGACAGAAGGTCACAGACTGCTTGGTGCTGCTTCATAAGAGTGTTCAGTTTCAGAACAGTCATTTGTTGAATGTCGGATTGTATCAATGAATTAATTCTTCCGAATTCCTTACTTAAAAAGTAAGAACAAAAGAAAAATAGCAGGGAGATTGATAAGAATTGTAGTAATATAGGAATTTCTGTAAGCATAAGAGCAAAATGACCGACGTAAAGTTTCCATCCACTGAATTTATTAAACGGAAATAACATTATTTTCATTTCTGGAGAAATGTAAACAGTAAAGCCGAGGCTAATCAAAAACACTATAGGGGAAATGATACAACCGCCCATCAGATGCTTGATACATTTTCTCCTCTTTCCAATAACGGTCAATCCGTAATTAATTTCATAATGTAAAAACTCTTTCTTCAGTGAGTCGTAATCTCTGCGGAAACCAATCCAATGGACAAGATTCAAAAACAAGTTGACACTTTGTATGGCGCAAAAAGCCACATGCGTGGCCAGATAGTCTTCTAAGGATGCCGGTTGCAGGAAAAGGCCAATTACTCTTCCAGCCTGAAACAGCGCCATGAACGTCACCAACAAACAATACATCAGATGCAATTTGGATTTGGTCTTCTTTGTTACAGTCATGTACGTTCCAGACACCATAAAAATTACATCGAAAAGTTTAAATATCCCGTTTGTTAAGGATGGCCCCATGTTGATTTCTTTCACTATTCCAACCTTACTCATACTGTCCTATCTCTCATATAGTCCTGATTATTCCTGAAGTTTAAAAAAAGAATTTTAAAGTTGTTGTACGAAAGATTGTGAAGTGTTTTTTTTTGTATTTTTAATAAACAGATGCTGAACTTCAAGTATTCGGTTTGTTAACCTGACCAGAAAAGGGCTTCCGTGTTGACGAAAACGATAGAACACATCGCAAATAATCTAGAGTTTAAATATTCACAAACAATCTGACTCTGTCAATAGTAAGAGTGAACTACTGTAGTTTAGATAACTATTTTTTTACAATATCATCCTAAAACGGCCATTTGCGCAGTCTCCGACACCGTAGTTCTATATCTAGAAGCAACACGTAAATAAACAGCGACTGGTTAATGTATTGGCTGGAAGAACACTGCCCACTGTCAAATATTTTCTAATCAACTGCTACTAACGTATATTTCACTGAGTAATAAATAGCCCAGTATACAATTCCGAATCAACTGCTTCTAACGTATATTTCACTGGGGAATAGTCCAGTATACAATTTACACAGTTTTAGCCACATCGTGCATAGATTGCTTTTTATTTGATGTAATTATCGTAAAATGTTGTTTCCATTAAGCTTAGTAGAAAGTGTTAACATTGATGACTTTACGATTGAATTAAATGGTGTATATCTCTATGCTTTGTAATCTTAAATTAAACGAATATGGATCTAAAACATATCAATATAATAAACACGTTTTTAGGCGAAAGCTGCAAAGGTTTTGTAATATTTTACACATCAAATCTAAAATTTAAAAGGCTTCATAAAAGAAACTCGAAAACATTATGGATAACTGAAAGTTTCGCAAAGCGAGTAATACCGACAAAGAAGATCTCGAACTTACTGTATATAAAACCTACATACGACTTGGACCAGGACATATTTAATATGTCATGTAATATAATCAGTTCAATTGAATGAACATTAATGCTAGCTTCCCACTACCACGATTCGTGCTACGATTAAAATCGTGGTTTTAATTGTCGTAATCGTTGTGATCCTTTCGGGTCCTATATATTGGTGTTGATGGGGGCAATCGTATTGATCGTATCGAAACGTATCCGAACATATATATTTGCACGTAACGCATCGCACGGCAGTGGGAACCTAGCACATGGAAGACGTAAGGGTTGTAAAAAATGGCAAGGGTCAATGCATGGCTCAACAAACCATTCTTGTCACTAATGAGCATGATGCAATTACAAGAGAGAGAGAGATTGGGTTTAACGTCCACTCGACACAAACTAGGTCATTTCGGGACTATGCAATTACAAACAAGAACTAATACTGACATGTCAAGTAGATGCACCTAGACCTACGTATTATATGTATACATGGCTATGTTTTGGTGAATAATAAAAAAAGATATTTCAAAATAAAAAAAAACAACTACTTGCATTATGAAATGCATGCAGCCATATTGAATCAACCTGTTATACGTCTTAAAATTTTAATTATTCATAATTACGTCAATTTTCTTTACGCAATCATTAATATATTCCCATTGGTGTATATACAATAAATTAAGTGCTATTAAACAAAAGAAATAAAATGAAATGAGTTTTAACGTCCTACTGTTCTGCTCTGACTTGGTTAATGAAGATGGGCATACGCCATACAGTGTGCTATGAGGGAAATTCTAACTGCCAATGTGTACACGAGACCTCGGTTTTTCGTCTGATCAGAACGACTAGACAGCTCTCCGTCCTGCACCACTGACATGGGGAAACCACGCCGGAAAATGCCAATGAACTTTCTCGGCCAACATCGGGAGCGAACCCGCGACCTCCAGGCTAGCGAGCCAGCATGGCTCCCTGATAAGCAAAAGCAAAAGAAAATAGCTATTGAATGTTACTGTCGCTGATTTAATATGACCGTTAGAGTTTGGTTTGTTTTTTGGTTTTGTAACAGTAGATAAATGTCCAATTATCCACTCGCCAATAAAGGATACTGTTTAAAAAAAAAACAGGATTAAACACATTTCTGTACAGTTAGGGACTGTTCTAACTGAGTGGTTTAAATGACATTGCAGATAGAAAATAATGAATTATCCGTCGGTTATTATCGATTCGTGAACGGAAATATTCTCAAAGTTATCTGTGTGCTGAATGATGTACAGGCCTATACATCTCATCAAAATTTAATTGAGCTTCAGTTATTCGAGGGATTATTTGCACAATCATCGAAACCTTTTAATCTCTCTAAACTTATATTTGTTTGAGACTCCCATAAATCGTTCAATTAGTCACTATACTTTTTTTCGGTCATATATATTGACAATGTTATTGAAGAATTGGGAAAACAATACGTGCAGAAAACAATACGTATATGGAAAAGTATGATCCGTGAATCATGTTTTATATAACACGTCGGGTTAATGTGACAATTACAGTGTCAAATAAAAATGATTTTTTAAGAGAAATATATAAAGGGACCGTGGTAAAAGAGTCTAAACGAATAATCCTTGAATAGATCTCGAATCGCCAACGCACCTGTCTATCCGCACCGATGGAATAAGAAAGAAAATATTGACATATTTCCGTTCATGATTCAATAATATCCGACCTCTCAGTTGCGACGGTCCCTGGCTGTACATTTAATAACCGACCCCCCAATTGCGACGGTCCCTGGCTGTATATTTAATAACCGACCCCCAAATTGCGACGGTCCCTGGCTGTACATTTAATAACCGACCTCTCAATTGCGACGGTCTCTGCCTGTATATTTAATAGTTGAGTGATTAATGTTTTTAAAAGAACATCCATATTGAAAAATAAACATAGGATTAAACAGGATTTTTAATAATCTACTGTTACAAGAGTATGAATCCTTTTAAATCTTTTAACGGTTCTACTAATCAGTAGAAGTACTCTACTAATCAGTCTTCACACCTATAGGTAAATCTGACACTGGCTTTTCGGATGTGAATGCCACACCCTCTTGTGTTACAAGTGTAGGATACTTTCAAGGGTTCGATCTATTTCGCACGGACACCTCCAGATTTGGCCAAAGGTCACGAGATATAAACAGGGGGCTAACGCTAACCCCAACACTAGCCTTGGGCCTAGTCATAACCCAAATCCTAGCCCCCAATCTTGTCAACAATCACGTGGACTAGCCTTATTTACATCTCCGCAACCATAACGAAATCTGGATGTGGTCTTAAGAAATAGATCTAACCCACTTTAAAGCTCTCATGCAGTACGCAAAACATGTGATTTTCGCTTTACATAATTAGTATACCTTATTGCATACTTATATGTTTACAAAGCACTGGGGCAATATATTTTCAGTAGTGTGGCATTGCTCAAAATGACTGGTCCAAGATGTGGGTTTTATAATAAGTAAGCTAGAGTTCTTCTTTGTCGGTATCACCCGCTTTGCCAGACTTCCAATTATCCACAATTTTGTTAGTTATTTTTATGAAGTCATATCAATGATGTGTAGCCTGTTTCAATAATTTTGACGCAAAATAAAAGTTCGTGTACGTATAAAATTTAAGCGCCAAAATATAGAGGAATGGTGTATTAACCTTGTCTCCAAATTTCAGCTCAAAATATTGAATCGTTTGGACCCGAACGTCACAACAGCTTATCCGTACACGTAACCCTTTTAAGATTTCAAGTCAATAGTTTCATTGGGTGACCGGATAATATATTGCCGTTCCTTAAGAGGTCTATACATGACTTACGTGCTGTACTTCATAACAAATGGTAAATTACACCTACACGTTATTTTTATAAAATAAAAGTCTGGTTTTATCAAGACACCGTATAATGCAGCTTGCGACACCGGTCTCCATTTCCAGATGAAGACTGACGGGTTTAAATTGTTTGAACGTTTCATGTATACTGAGTTAATTGCTCGGGTCTAGAGGATTTTAAAGGCTTTTAACACAAAATAAGCAGTTTTATTCTCCTAAATATAACCGAGATTGGCCCTTTAATATGTGCTTTTAGACCAATATTCGTATAACTTAGAGATATACGCCCAATAATTCAACAGTACAGTCAATATGTTCACATTTTCTAAGTTAAATGGAAATATAATATTTCACAATTATTTCATCAAATAAACAGTAATCTATTGATAATGTCGTTAAAACTGTATACATTATATGCTGGCCTATTATAAATTACAAGCAGTTGATTCGGAAAAATATTTGATAGTGTGCAGTGTTCTTCCAGCCAATTCATTAACCAGTCGCTGTTTACGTGTTGCTCCTAGATATGGAGACTGCGCAAATGACCGTTTAAGGACGATTAATTAAAAAAAGACAGTTATCTAAATTATAGTAGTTCACTCGTTATTATAGACAGTTTCTTGTTAGGTACGATTGTGTCAAGTACACAATTTAATTCAGACAGTTCAGAATAAATCGAGATTGCTTGTGATGCTTTCTACAGTTTTCGCAAACCCAGGAGGCCTTTTCTGGTCAGGTTAAAGTTCAAAATAGTTTTTTTTAAAATAAAATTATACTTCATAATCTTTTGCACAGCAACTTCCAGATTGTTTGTCAAGTTCAATCATAATCAGGACTATAAGAACTACAGCAGTATGAGTAGGATTAGCATAGTGACGGAAATCAACGTGGAACCATCATTAACAGACGACATATTTAAACTTTTAGATGTAACCTTTATGGTGTCGGGAACGCACACGACTGTAGCAAAGAAGACCAAGTCCAAATTACATCTAATGTATTGCTTGTTGGTGACGTGCATGACGCTGTTTCAGACTACAAGATTAATTGGCCTTTTTCTGCAACCGGCATCCTTAGAAGACTATCTAGCCACGTATGTGGCTTTTAGTTCCGCACAAACTGTCCTCCTGTTTTTGAATCTTGTCCATTGGAATGGTTTTCGCAGAGATTACGATTTACTGAAGAAAGAGTTTGAATTTTATGAAATTAATTACGGCTTGACCATTATTAAAAAGAGGAGGAAATTTATCAAGAATCTGATGGTCGGTTCTCTCATAACCTTAATAGTGTGTGTGTGTATCCTCAGCTTTATGGTTTACATTACTCCAGAAATGAAAATAGTATACTTTCCGTTTCATGAATTCAGTGGATGGAAATTTTACGTCGGTCATTTTGCTCTTGTGTTTACAGAAATTCCCATTCTAATGTACTACGTATCAATCACCATGTTATTTTGTTTTTGTTCTTACATTTTATGTAAGGAATTTGGAA